CACCCCACCGCTCACCGTGGCCACCGCTCCCGCAAGCTTCGTTGCTCCTATAACTTCATCTAGTGTAGGCGCTAGGACCGTAGATGTAGGTTGGCCCGCTAGCGGGGCCGCTGCGTGCCTTAGTTGGCCGGCGTGGCCTTCCATTGCCATGCCCTCTGCGTCGGCGCGCGCAGGGGTGGCCAAGGATCTGGCCATGGTAAAAGAGGATAGTTACGAGGTCCTTTTTGCATAGCTCTCTCTCGGGGAATAGTGCTACAGACCCTGGGTTGATTTGTTTATAGCGCTGGGGCGTTTTTGCAAAGTTGGCAGTGCGCGCGTGGGTCGCCCCGTCGTGGGCCGTCTCACGGTGGGCTGCGTCCGTGCGGGCCACGCGGTGGTGGGCCACGGAGTGAGAATTCATTTTTCTTTTTCTTAAGGAATTAGAAATAGTTTTATATTTTACATTCTGAGGTGAACTTTTAAAAGTAATATCAATTCACATAGGTGTCCAAAAATTATGAAATAAATTTTGTTGGGTTCCTAAAAATGTTGTCTATATGATGGTATGATTAGATGATGCAGGTCTGAGTTGATGCTAGGGTTTATTAAATCATTTGCGAGTGTTTAGTATTATTTAGATTAGTATTTGTAGGAATTTTTGTGGCAAATTGGTAATAGCTTTGACCATGAAATTTTTACAGTAGATTCATTGTATTATTATGTGCTTGTTGTAATTTTTGTAGCCTTAGAATAGGCTAAGTACTAGGGTAGTTAGGTGCTCCTTGTTGTAATATAAGTTAAATCGCTAATAAGAGTAAGGTTACATTTTAGTTGCTAAGTTAATACCTGTTAGATGAATCCATACCTATGTTTGAGGAAATGATAGGTAGTTAGTATTTTAACCATTAGAGCTAGCTTAGTGGCTTAGTAGATGTATTCTTATTTTAAGAATTGATGTTGCCTTAATATTAAAGTGTTGCATCATCATCACATGCATGTAGAGAATAAGTTGGTAGAGATCGTGACCTTCGGAGATCACAAGTTCGAGGAGGTGATCAAGGAGTATGAGGAGAAGATTCTCGTACAGGAGGGAGCATCGAGCCACCAGTGATTGACTTTGCTAACAACGCGCCTTGCCCAAGGCAAGCCCCGGATGCATAACCCTTATTTTGAATAATCACTGAATATATATATGTGATGTGCATTTATGTTACATAATTTATATTGAAACTACATGCATAGATAAACCTATCTATGAGTTCTACTAGCATAGGTCGAGTAACTGCTATGCTTAGGTTATTGGTAGCATGAGTAACCTGTCGTTACTCACAATAGGTGATTATTATTATCACTCTCATGATAAAATGGTGAAAAGGAAATGGAGATCGGACAGAGATATAGTACGGGTATTGGTGGGTGTAATAGGTTGTCCCGCGGCCAACAGGGCATAGCTTGGTTACACTGTTTTCCCTATCCGTGTCGGTTAAGGACTGATCGTTGCTTTGGATTTTAGTCAGGTCACAGACTTATTATCCTGAGAACATACTTGCTTATGGGAGCGGCAAGGCTCGTTGATCTCTTGTCATGGGTTCCAGCTCTTTCCGGACAGACTGATTGGAGGCGGGGATGGTGGAGGTCCAAGCACCACACTGAGTCCGGGACTTAGGAGTGGGGGCTTAGAGTTTAAGTTTGTACGGGGACCTGGACCCCTTGATAGGAGAGTGGTGGGTTGGTCTTGCTTGTGTCTAGGGTATAAGCGGGGCGTGTGTTTCGGGGTATCCAGCTGTGATATATTGGTTCACGAATCACCATGTGATACGGTATGACTTGTCTACGATCTAGCACCATAGTAAGAACTGAAAGATGAAAGATTGTGAAATGGATCTGATTGCTCAACTCTCGCTTGAAAGTACAACAGGTGCTTACATAGAATGGTTAGCTAATGAACTAATCAGGACTGCTAATAAGAAATATATATAAGGATTCACTACTAGTAATGCTTTTTGTAAAAAGAAAACCCAACAAACCATAAAGCTTATCATATACTTTGGAGTCAGAAAATTATTCCCACTAGTCGAATAAGTCTTGCGAGTACATTGTGTACTTAGGGTTTATTTACCCCTATTGCAGGTGTAGCTTGAGGAGTGACTATTGTGTGGAGGATTTTTCTGGTGGGCACAGACGGATCCTTATATCTTATCATTAAAAGTTTATTTCAATTCCGCTGTTTAAATTTCGCACTCTGAACTTGGTATTATAATAATATATTTCCAAGAACTCTTGTTGTATGAAATGGACTAAGTATTGTAAACTCGTTATCATTATTGGATCCTAGAGGAAAAACATGGATTGTTTTAAATTCTCCTTTGGGGTGTGCTCGATGGAACCGTCCGATGTAGCCAGCTTTCGGGGTGCTTAGTGTCTGATGGAAGACGAGTGCCTCCGAAGCGTGCTATTTCGAGCGGTTCTACCACAATCAGCGATGGGGAACTCACGTGCGTTGAGATCGGTGATGAGGCTACAATCCCGGGGTTGTGCGACATTGTGTTGAACGCCGCGTGGTCCAAGCTCTTCACAACGTTCTTCTCCTGGAGCTTCAGGTCGTCGTCGACGCCTTCCAACTCCGGTCACCATGCTTCGATGTCAGCCGCCACTGCCTCCAGCTTGGTCACCTGCACATCACGGTCGTCGGTGGAGTGCGCAACATGGATCGACTCGAGTGTGGCGATGCGCTGGGTGATGTCCGAAGCCTAGGTGGAGTACGCGAACTCCAGCACGGCGAGGCTGGTCGGAGATGCTCGAATCCACGGTCGAAGCGCGGGACGACTCCATATCGGCGAGGCGGCGATCAACGTCGCTGTTGCGAGCGGAGAGGTCACGGTCGAGGTCGGTGAAGCGCTGATCAAGCCGAGCGTCATGGTTGTCGAGCCGCTTGCCCAAGTCATCGAGCTTGTCGAGGATGATTTTCAGATTGGGATCCATCACGCCGAGAGATCGTTGCCGGCGAGTGAAGTGGTCGTGGGTGGCGGCGGCAGTGAGATCCAGGGCGGAGAAGAAGAACAGAGGAGCGATGGATCGAATAAGACGTCTGATACCAGATTGTTAGCAGAAGGCAATCGGGAGTTAGATTGGGGAAAAGGTAAGCAATAGAACAGAGAAGGATCCAGTACGGAGGAGTTCTATTGCATAACAGAATAAGATTCGGTTTACCAATTTTATAAGCCACACCTTCCCATCCTCTCAATACTTATACTACTTCTAACCAAGCCATGTTGGGCCGGACACCTTCGGGTTAGGCTTCCGAATCCTTTTGGACCGCCTGTCTTCTTCTCCAGGCCCATTTCCTCCGAGCCTTGGCGATGCGATGTTGTCGGACGTGGAATAGCAACGGTGCTAACACTAGGGTTCTTGCATGCTGTCACGGTGTCACCCTCTTCATTATCCTTCGTCACTTATATATGATATTCTTTTCTTTATCATTATTATAGCAATTTCTTTCAAGTACTTTTTGTCTCCTAAACAAGTATGTTCCTTGTTACCCTTTGTGGCACCCTGACCATCTTTAATTCTAATTCCTTCTCCGTCTCGCTTGTCCTAAATCTTTACAAAGTTAACCTCGAAAGCTGCTAGTGTATTAATAACATGTTATTACACGTGATTATATGAAAGGTAAGATTAGCAAGTGATTTATTTTTGAACAGCATGAGAAAAAAAGTTTCACAACTTGCCACCTCTTTACTTTTGTTAGAATAAAATATTCTTATAGTAGTTCTTTTTCGCAGCTCCAAGAACCTCTTTGTATCTTTCTATATAGATTTTTATAAAAAAGACTTGCAACTTTTTTTCAATTAGATATCAAATATCCACGTCTTCTATTCTAGATTTCTACTAATAACCAAATATGGAGAGCGGCGGTAATGCCTCTCCTGTGTGCACAAGATATTGAGAAGTTATTGGCCCTATTTGAAGCTGGTGAAGAAAATCAGAAAACTGCTTCCAAACGGATTGATTCTCTTGCCGTTTTTTCCTCGCGCTTCCACTCCCCACGCCCTTTACATGTAAAATCGGAATAAGTTGAGTGTGAGTTTGGGAAAAATCCCGCTAATTCCCAGTCATCTCACCCTCCGCTTGTCCTCGTACTCGTCGGCGCCGGCACCTATGCCTCCCTCCTCCACGTGCGGTGCTTGTGCCTACTTCTTCCTCATTGCTCGAGTGCCGCTGCCTTCCCTCGCTCGAGCGCCCGCACCTTCCTTCTCCTCCGTGCTTGCTTGAGGTTGAAGGGTTAGTGCTATACACAAGCTTGGCCACCGGGTACTAGATCAAGATTGGCCCATCGGCAGTGGTGGATGCAGGATGGGAACAAAGGAAGGACTAAATAATGAAGATTTAGAGCTAGAGCTAGAGATTAATGGTGATTTAAGGCTAAGTAACCGTGGTCAAATGAAGAAATCAGGCTCAATGGGGGGCTGCCGGGGCTACAGCCCCCCCTTTGGATCCGCCCGCCATCGGCACACCGTCGGTGGAGCAACACGGTCTCCTTGGTTGCCGCCGAAGTTGCTGCACGAGCGACACGGCTTCGATGAGCTGAGTTGCTGCTGGTGATTGACTCTATGAGAAGGGCCTGCCTCTGGTGGGCACGCGGACAACCTCCCTCCTCTCCCTCCTTCCCGAGCTCTGTCTCGGCCTCTTTCTCGTAGAGCTTTCCTGTCCCTAAAGGAGAAACCTTTTTATCAAGACACTTGTTCAAAAATATACCTTACGTAAAAAAAACAAGCTTATAATAGAAAAACCTTACCAATCAGAGCCATTGGAGTATGAAAAGTTATAAAAAACAGTTTTTATTTAAGTAACTTTTAAATAATGATTTAAAGTGTGAGTTTAAAGAAAACTATTGTATAGATACGCTCAAAAATGTCAATGAGAAAAACAGGGAAAAAATTCCCACAAAATTGAGCTAATCGGAAGGCTATCCACAATCCCTCGTCGGCTGGTCCTCGGCTCCTCGCGCGTACTGCCGAAAGATGGCGGCGGCGATGGCGAGGCGTGCCGCTGGCCTTCTCCCTCTCCTAGTCTCCTCGCGGTCCGGTGCTCGCATAGCCCTCCACCGGGCGGTATCCCAGATCCCTCCGCCTCGCTCCTGTCGCCTACTCTCGCAGCAAGCCAAGCCCTCCCCCTCCTCCCCCTTCTCCGCCTCCGCCTCCGCCTCCGCCTCCGCCTCTGCGTCGAATGGCACGGCTGCAGAGAGAACCCGGGAGCTGCATCTGTACAACACGAAGTCGCGGAAGAAGGAGCAGTTTCGGCCGCGCGATCCAGGCGGGGAGGTCAGCATGTACGTCTGCGGCGTCACTCCCTACGACGACAGTCACATCGGCCATGCCCGCGCATACGTAGCCTTTGATGTCCTCTACAGGTTTCCCTCCCCCTATTACGTTCATGATTCGGTTAGTTCCTGCAACTGCGAGCTCTGTTAATCTGACGGTACACTTGATTCACTCACTGGAGATAATGTATTGTAGATTCGTAGTTCTAGTGCAGTCTTAAAAACTTGCGGGGGCTGTCTAAGCGCATAATATATTTACTGAGCGAACTGATGATTGACATGATTTCCATTGAAAATGATATACATTTGCCTTGAGATGCTTTGAGTTGTTTGTTACTCCTGCTCTAAAGAAGCTGGTTGTCCACATTAACACTTGTCCAATTGGCAATTGCCTATTTGTGGTTTAACGGACTTGGTTTAGGATAAACACCATAGTGACATGGCTAAAGCACCTCAAAATCTCTGTTCTGCTATCTTATCACCTTACTTATTTCCATTGCATTCTTAGGAAATATTGCATATACTTACTGTGCTGTCTTGATAGGTACTTGCGCTATTTGGACTATGAAGTTCGCTATGTTCGGAACTTCACCGACATTGATGACAAGGTAACTTTCAGGCAAATTTGTTTGCAAATATATGTGAAGCTGAGTTACCTATTTCTGATAACCAATTTTAAAAATGTAGTTGCAGTTATTATTTTCTTACATCTTTGCTGTTTGCAAGATATTGAAAATCATAGCTTTACTTTCTACAAAAATTGCATTGTCCTGAATTTAAATTAGACAAGACAGAGATCTCGTTTGAATGTTCACACATTATGGAACATTTGATGTCATGTTTTTTTTTCTGGATTTAACTAGATAGCTTTATTTGTACTATTTTCTGCTGAAATTGTAAAAAAGGGCATACCCAGTGCCGGAGGCTCCCACATGAGTGGGGTCTGGGGAAGGGAAAAACCAAGGCAAGCCTTCCCCCAAAAATTTGCGGAGAGGTTGCTTCGAACCCACGACCTGGTGACTCAGTGAGACAGCTCTCACCACTGCACCAGGCCTGCCCTTCTTTCTGCTGAAATTGTATTAAGCTATTTTACATGGAAAACTAGAATGAAATATTTAAACACAATTTGCTAATCTGCACAGGAGACCTGAGTTGCACTTCTGGAATTCTGTAGATAATTGCAAGAGCAAATCAGCTGGGGGAAGATCCTTTTAGCTTAAGCAAAAGGTTCTCTGATGACTTCCTGTCAGACATGGCCAATCTTCAATGTTTACCACCATCTGTGGAGCCCCGTGTTTCAGATCATATTGATGAGATTATAAATATGATTAAACAGGTATTTATACTTGATATTGTGTGCAGTACCTAGTGACATGCTTATGCAGTTTCTTTTTGCTGTCCTCGTGTGAAAATTATTTACTGATTTCTGTACCAGGCTGGATTGGATGTTTAATCTCAGATTGGTTGGAAGCTCCTTGCTTTCACATAATTTAGTTCAGATCGAATTACATATGATATTAAGCTGACAATAGTTAAATGTTTGCTTTTCTGTGGCCATGACCTGTCAATCCATGATAGGTTTCATGTAAAAAAGATACCCAATTCCAAGCTGGTTTGTTAGCATTGTTAGTGCAATTTAGGAATTTGTTATGTGGTTAAGTGGTAATCTCTCAAGTTGACAAAGTTGCAGAATGCTGTGTCCATGTTTATATTGCAAGTTTTCAATGTGATCATGTCATATTTATGCAGTTGTGGGCATGAAGAACATCATGTTTGATTCTCTTGATGTAAGATACTAAGATATGTACTGTTAATGATTAATATATAGTCTTTAGTGTTTTCATACTGTGCTTGACTCACATTTTGATCTGTTCACATACCTAAAACAGCTCACAAAGTGTTATTGTACAGATATTGAATTCCTGTTCTTTTGGTACAATTTCTTTTTGCGCTATGGAACTTGACTTAATTTTTCTTTGAGCAGATCCTTGATAATAGTTGCGCATATGTAGTGGGTGGGGATGTTTATTTCTCTGTAGATAATTTTCCTGAGTACGGAGAATTATCTGGTCGAAAACTAGATGATAATAGAGCTGGTGAAAGGGTTGCTGTTGATGAGAGGAAGAGAAATCCAGCTGATTTTGCTCTATGGAAGGTAGAAGATGTCCCAAATGCTAGTATGCAACACCTTTTGTATTCCATTCCTGTGGAAATGATTTAGTTCAATATCAATTAGTTTATTTCACGTTAACTGCAGGCCGCAAAAGATGGGGAGCCATGGTGGGATAGCCCATGGGGCCCAGGAAGGCCAGGATGGCACATAGAATGCAGTGCCATGAGTGCACATTATTTGGGTCATTCTTTTGACATACATGGTGGTGGGGAGGATCTCATCTTTCCACACCATGAAAATGAGATTGCTCAGAGCCGTGCGGCATGTTGTGACAGTACCATAAATTACTGGATACACAACGGTTTTGTCAATGTAAATAGCCAAAAGATGTCTAAATCACTTGGTAATTTTGTCACCATACGGAAGGTAAAAGCAATGTTCCAATCTTCCTCAAGTAATGACTGTACCTTTGCTTGCTCAAAGACTGCCATTGTCCTCAGGTTATAGAGATGTACCATCCGCTGGCTTTGAGAATGTTCTTACTTGGCACGCACTACAGGTCCCCAATTAACTACACAATAGAACAACTCAATGTCGCATCAGACAGATTGTACTACACATATCAGGTATGCTCTATATCTATATGATCGTTCTGGTTCTTAGTCTGATATAACTATGTTGCATAAACTTCTTGCTTGGCAACTGTTTTTCTGATGTATCCTTTTTTTTTCTGGTAAGTGAACGGGTTAGGGAATTAGGATAGTGTATAGATAATCCAAAAGTCCAAGACTCTTGTGTTCTCTATGTCAAGTAGACCATAGTACATGGCTATTTTTGGTAGCCGAGATCCCAAGGCTAAAGCACACCTCTGCATACCCCAGGTGATGATGCTGTGGAAAGAAGGAAAACCCCACTAGACCTTATATTGTCATGCATGAAATGTAGTAATGTTGCCTAACTTGCCTGGGTTGTTTGGTGGCAACATCTGGAAGCAAAGTAGTGGTCACAAATTAGAGGTACCCTATTTTCTAATTTTGAAGCAAAGTTTTGACTATTCAAAATGACTGATAATATTGCCTAGCTTCCATAAAGGGCGTACCCAGTGCAGAGAGCTCCCGCTCTGTGCGGGGTCTGGGAAGGTGTCAGTGGCAAGCCTTACCCTCGCTTGTGCAATGCGAGGAGACCGCGACTCGAACAGGGACCTTCCGGTCACAGGCGGTAAGACTCTACCGCTTGCACCAGGCCCGCCCTTCATTGCCTAGCTTCCATGGACCAAAGAAAAGCTGAGATGCAAATAATCAATTCTTTGTTTTATATTGAACCTCTTGCTTTCTCCTAGCTGATTCCTAGTGCTCACATATTAGTCCATGATTTAGAATTAGTAAATGCTGCCACAATTTTCTTCCTCCACATGTTTTCCAATGTCACTTTTGATAGTGGTGGCTCAGAATACATGGGACTACGGTAATATTGGCACACTTGGTCTGATTTTGCTGGATTGCTCCCTACTACAGATTCTAGCTAAATAAGAGTTTTTACAATGCATAGTTCTGATTCATGCCTGTTGACTGAGAAGTTGCTTGTGTTTGCATCTGAGAAGTTGCTTATATTTGCTCGACAACTCAGAAGTTAGGACTCCAGTTTTTGGTGGAACTGAGAGTTGTATTTCACAGTTATTTCTGTTTCATAAGAGGTCGTTTCAGTGCCATAACTTCTAATCAAAAGGTTCACATGAATTCTTTTGTATCCACAGACCTTGCGTGATTGTGAAGAGAGTTGTCATCAGCAACGAAGCAACATTGGAAACTCATTGCCTCCTAATACCTCAAATTACATCCAAAAACTTCATGATGAATTTGAGACCTCAATGTCAGATGATCTTCACACTTCAGTGGCATTGGCTGCTATTTCTGAGCCATTGAAAGTTATGAATGATCTGTTGCACACTCGTAAGGTAAATTTATTGATGAACAAATGGAGATACAGTTCATTTGTATTCAGACTGTGTAAACTGTACCATTCTCCATTCTCATGCAAACATCAAAAACTATCTAACTTGTTTTGACCTATGCCTGGCATTTAAATAGGGAAAGAAGCAGGACAAAAGGTTGGAATTGCTTTCTGCCTTAGAAGAGAAAATAAGAGTAGTGCTTTCTGTTCTAGGATTGCTACCTTCAAGTTATCATGAGGTGAGTGCAATGTTCTGTTAACACTGCCAAATTAGTTTCAATATATACTGTCAGTAAGTTTACAGTAGACCTATTCATGGGGACTCCAGCCCGCCCCAAAGCCAGCTCAAGCTCAACTCGACAGTCGCACTGGCTGGATTGGGCTTATTTTCCAGCCCACATAAAAAAACAGGCAGCCAGGCTTGGGTTCCCGTTTTGACATGTGGGCACTGAAGCATGAAAAAGGCTGGCCCAGCCTGGAAAAAATGGCATTTACGGGTGGGCTTGAACTTCAAAGTTTGGCTCGGTGTCGAGCTCAGGCCTTGGGGTTTGCACCAGATTTTCTAAAGCCTAGCCTGGCCTGGCCCCCGCATTTGTTGTACAGCTAGTTTTGGTGCAGAACAAACCTCTGTATCATAGTACTTCATGATGGCTATTTTGTAGACTCAACTCTGTAAACTCCTGGTATTAGGAAAGATGAATATGTCATGGTAAAAATGCGACAAAGGCCTACCTATTAGATGTATTCAACTTTGAACACACAGAGTCAGCCTAAGTTTAACATCCAGTTCAGCTGCCCTGTTCTAGCTGTTTCTGAAGTTATTTAGATTAGATTCTCCTTGATGAATGAAAGAAAGGAAAGGAAACTTATATTATCAAAATAACTGCCTATAGCAATACAAGTCTTAAGCAGCGCATGCAAGTGCAGCCAAGAAACTTTTCGGAAGTAATTTGGATTGCAGACTAGTAACTAACTCCATCCAATTTGTACATGTAGTTAAGCTGACACTTATACAAGCACCTTTCACTTGCATAACTTGTTCCATTAATTAATGCTACTAATAAGCTTCTGCTCTCAGGCTTTGCAACAGCTGCGGGATAAAGCACTTAGGCGAGCTTCCATCACTGAGGAGCTTGTGGTGCAGAAGATTGAAGAGAGGACTGCAGCAAGGAAGGCGAAGCAGTATGAAAAATCCGACGAGATCCGGAAAGAATTGGCCGCCGTTGGAATTGCCCTCATGGATGGCCCCGACGGAACAACTTGGAGACCATCTTTGCCTCTTTCAGAGGAAGCAGTGGTTGCGAAAACATGATCTGCGCAAGAAATTCCAGTGCTGACCCTTGGACACTCGTTCTAGTTGTTAATCATAGGTTTGCTATATGATGCTGCTTTTGTGACGAAGAAATCAACGGAGTTCCTGAGAAATCATATTGTTTGCACAATTCTCTGCTCCCATTAGAGCTACAGTAGTTACATGCTCATATTCGGTAAAAAGATGCCCGGTCTTGGTTTCCACTTTGCACCGAGTCCTTGCGTAACGATTGAAATGTAACATGACAGCCTTCTGCAAGTTATATCAATCATATTGCCGAATATTTTAACTAGCTAGAAAAATTGCCCGTGTGTTGCAACGGGTTAATAAAAACTATATACTAATTTTTATTCAACTGAAGATTTAGGTGTAAAAGAAATAATTGTTTATGTCAAAAGATTGAATTTTGTTTAGTGTGTGAACACCTATAGCAGTTTTTTTTTAAAACACCCATAGCAGTCGTGGTTCGTCTCTACCTCGTCGACCTCTCCTCAAGCATCACTATTGTCGGGTTTATAAACCCGGAGTTCCTCATGGATCGGCTTTCCAGCAAAGGCTCGGTTCAGCAGACAACGTTGTGAACCAACGCGTAACTCTTGGGTCGGCCCAAATACCTAAACGACAGGTCAGAAGGGCGATCCAATCACCGATCGGAAGACCTGGCCGAGGAGGAACGGCGTCCGCTTCCGACTCCGGCACGCCTCTCCGACTGGAGCGCTCGCTTAGGTCTCCAGCCCGCCTCCAGACGGCCTCTCTGACCGGAAGGCCTGATCAAAACACCACTTCCGACTCTAACCCATTTCTCCGATTGGGAAAACAACGAACCCCAGCTTACAGCTCCTCTCCGACTGGCGCAATCAGAGCCGACTAGGACCAACCGACCGGGGACGCCCGCTCGGTAAGGACTAGGAAACGGACGAAGAAAGTAAGGCAGGGCGTATAAGTCAAACCGCAATACCAAGGACCGTATCCTGTACATCTGCAGGACAGTACCCTGCGACCTCCTTGGCATGATAGAACCCAAGCAGTGTTGTAGGCGCCGATATTTTTCCTTACAATGTTGTGGGCGCCATCAACCCCCATACCAGGCAAATACGGTAAGGCTCCCCCACGTGCCTCTGAGGCATCGACAGTGTTGTGGGCACCGGTATTTACCGTACCAGACGAACATGGTAAAACCCCTTGCATGCCTCTGGGTATCAACAGTGTGGCAGGCACCGACGTCTGCCATACCTAAAGAAGACGACGCAACCTCCCACGTGCATCTGACATTGAACAGTATTGTGGGCGCCTACCATCATCTTGTACCCGCCAGGCGTGGGCAACAAGACTTATTAGCATACGTACTCTCTCCCTCTCACTTGTAAGGCCATCCCCTTCATCTATAAAAGGGGATGCGCTCTCTCCCAACAAAAGAGATCGATCAGTTCACTAAGACACGACAACAGAATCACTAGGTTCAAACCACAAGCACACGCTTGAACACTTAGCACATAGCGGAACTCCCGTCACTCTCGGCCCCTCAGACCAGAGTCCGACCGGACCTCTTATACCCCCATCTTTCTCCTTTTCGTTTGTAACCCCACTGCAAACTTCGAGCACCTAGGCTCAGGAATAAAGTCATCGACCGACTCAAATTGGACGTAGGACACGTTGCCTGAACCAGTATAAACCCTGTGTCATTGAGTGCTAGGCCACATCCGATCACAACATACGGTAAAACTATAAATATTTACGTGTTGGTCACTTTCTGCATCGACAGTTAGCGCCGTCCGTGGGGAAGACGCTGTACGTTCAACACTTTTTGGTCATCGGATGGCCCACTTTTCCGTCACCTTCGCCATGGCGGGTTCAAGCGATACAACTCGCTTCGGCTCACTGGAGTTTCCCGCACTCCCACCTGTTGGGATGCGGGTCCCACCCGTCTTTAAGCCATCCCAGACCTTCCTTTTCGGAAGCCTGGACTTCATCGCCGACTGGCTTGGCGTACTACACTTCCGCGAGGAGGCAACCATCCCGATGCCCGTCGGAGGGGCACCCTTCGTCGGCTCCAGGACACCCAACGACTTCAACGACGAGGCACCTATACTTCATTCCGAGCAAACGCTCTGCTCAAACCCCGCTGTGAGTAATGTACATACTGTTATTTACTCATTATTTCCTATCTTTCGCCGATTATCCGAGGGACCTCGTTGTCCCTGCCGCCTCCACCATGCGACCGGCTCCCCTACGACCTCGCGTCCCCCGTGGATACGTACGCCCGGGGTTCAAAGGATGCCGGCGCCGCCCCCTCTCACGTCCATATTCATGGGGATGGTGAGCTATGCTCCCACATGTTTCCTCGACCTCATGGATGACGATGTTGAGAGTGACGGCTCCAGCATCGGTGACATGGCACCTAGCCACCGTTTGTCTTGAGAGTGCGCTATGGCGGACGTTCTGGGACAGCCGCCGATGGTAGCGGAGTCCTTGCGGACTCACACCCCTCCGGACCCTTGTGTGGGGACCCTCACGCTCACACGAGAGCACGGCGAGGAGCTACGACCATGGCGGCAGAACCAACCGCCACCTGCATCGCCACGCTCGGCTCACCACACTGCGCCCCGTGCGCATAAACTGGCGAGCGGCGCTCGGGGTCACGCCCGCCCGCTCCAGCGCAACATCATGGACGGGGGGGAATGATCCCCCATAGTTCACTCAGGCTGGCCAGAACATCGCTGCTGCGGCAATACTTCTACGTGGCCTTCCTGAGCCGAACGAACCCAGGAACAAGCGATCCACCGGAACCTCCTAGCACTGGTGGAAACCGCCACCGTTCAACAGGCGGAGAGCTCAGCATCATGACACCGACTCGCAACCTCTCTCCCCACCAGGGGAGTTGGGACGCACCAGATGAATCGCTCCACCCGCTCACCACTACAGCCACCGAACACGGCACAGGAGGCCGCATCTGCGCCTCGACTTGACTTGGCGCCCGCTCCGCACCGACCGCCTGTACGCGAGCGGCTCGGGCCAAACCAAGACACTCACGGTGTCATCAACAACCGGTGTCAGTCCCGATAGGATGATGGCGTCCATCGAGCGGCAGTGATGGTAGGCGACATAGACCCTAGCGGACCATCGCGAGGAGTGGTGAAACACACCCCAGGCGCGGTCGTCCGGCCAGACGACCGGAGTCCTAGCCCGGATGGCTCGAGACCACGAGCCTTTGCCTGACGTATCCAGAGAGCGCCCCTCCCACAACGCTTCAACGGAGGTCGAGGCAAAGGCAAGGCCAAGCGTGAGGATCAGGATGAGGGCCCCTCCACGCAGAGGGGAAAAAGAACAGAAAAGATCACCGCTGATTGACCAACTCTGCGTTGGTGGCCATGACTGATCACACGAGCAAGCAGCCCCAGCAGGGCCTTCCGGACCACTTCAACGAGCTCATGGAGAGCCCATGCACCAACCACGCCTACCCCGTCAAACACCTCTACAAGGACTGTGAGCTCCTCAAACGCACCTTCTGCGACAAGCCGGTGGGCCGAAGGAAGAAAAAGGCAAAGAAGCAGCGACCAAGAAAGGGGCGTAGCGGGCAAGGATCCGGACGACTGAAGGTCGAGGTGATCCAACCGAATGCCTACCGATTGAAGGACGACAACAACAATGTTCTCACCAACTCTTGGAACAGCTATGTCATTTCTTCCCTAAAATTCAGTCTTACCATTGTTTACTTAATGTTTGTCCTATAAAAGTGCCCCGACCCGAACACTTTCGCCCGGGTCGCTCGGGGGCTCCACGGGGGTGCACTACCACCTCTCTTTTTCGTTCACTATCATATGGTAAAACTCCTTCCTGCCCGAACAAAAGGGTAGTTCGTTCCTTTAAATTACCTTACGTAGCTTTGCTTTAAATATTTCGATCGATCGCACCCCACCTCTACCTACAGTTACGAGCAGCTGAGCCTCGTGGGCCACGCCCGAGCTCCTAAGGTTATAGCCTACACGACGAATGGGCAAGTGCGAAAAAGAAAGAATAAAAAACAAAATTGTGCTAAGGTAAAACTAAGGAACGAATGGGACAAGTTTCCCCGAACGGAGTGATTCCATCACAAAAAACAAAACTGATTGTATTCATTGAGTACACAAAAATGTTTTGCACGGGCTCCCCATGAACTTAACTTTTTACATCTGCTACACTACTTCTACTCTAGAAATTCTACTATGGATCCCCAGCGACATTGGCTGTCGGTGCGACCGGCGAGGTCATGGGCTGCTTGGTCTCCGGCGGGACGACATTCGGCTCTGTTGGAAGCGGGCGACGTTCATCTCCGACCCGGGCTCCACTCCGTCTATAGGTTGGGCGATGTCCTCCTGACCCGCGCCATCGTCCAGGTCCACACGGTGGGCATCCATCACCCACTGCGCGGAGACTTGCTCGGCCAACAACTTTGCGTGTGGTAGCAAGCTCTCCCCGAGCGACTAGATGTCCTCCGTGCTATAGCCGTCGGCATACCCACTACAGATGGTGGCGAAGTCCAGGTCTGAGTGGTATGTCGCCACCGAAGTCAACACCCCTGATGCTCCGTAGAACAGCTCGTGGGTGATGAGGGCCCGGACATCATCCGGAACCTCCGCCAACCGAATGGTGGGCGCACTAGTACTTGGCGCCGACCCGAAGACCTCCGAGGCAACGAGCTAGGCAACATTGCGGATCTGGTCAAGTTTCGCCTCAAGAGCACATCGCTCTTCAAGGGACTTGGCCAACGCCTCCGCATTACGGCAAGTCGTCGCTTTGGACGTCTCCAGGTCCTGCTCCAACGACTCCAACTTTCCACCCAGCTCTGGAAAGAGGACGACAAGCTCAGAATCAAGCCAAGGGAAGAAACCAACACGATGAAGGCAGAAAAAGTGCTTACCGAGGCGGGTGTTCTCAAGGATGGAGAGTCCCTCTGCCTACCGGGTCATCTGCTCGCGTAGCCAGGCGTTCGCCTCCCAGCCCCGAAGCACGAGCACTTCCTG